CTGAGCCACTCAGCCGGCCCACCCCTTATTTCTTAAAAATAGGACACCTGATGTTTTAGCTGGATACATTTCTGAGACTCCTTTGCAGCTAAGTGTGGCCACTGGATTAATTTCTGGCCAATAAGATGAATTAACTAACATACGCAACTTCTTCATCCCTTTCTCTTTCCAGTTGGCTGGAATGCAGACATGATGGTTGGAGTTCAGACAGCCGTTTTGGACCATGAAGAGCATATTAAGGATGGTGGAACAGCCAGGTTTTTCTCAAGCAAACTGAGAGCTCCCCAACATGTGAAGAGCTTATTAAGGCATTCAGAGACACCTGGAGCTGAACATAACTTGATTAAAAACATTTTAACAAGCAAAATGTATTGGGAAGCAGGGTAGGGGTAGGACCTCCTTCATGCATTTAGAAGTTAAACGGTGGTCATTAGAACTCAGTGTTGATAAAATCTTTGACTTAACCTACACCAGGAAATAATGAATTCCTGGAATAGTTGCATGCAAATAAACACAAAGGTGTAACCAAAAAATTTTGAGAGCACTAAAGGAAAGGAAAACACAATGTAGACTGTATCATCTACAAAATGTATACACTCGTACATGAGAAAAAAAATTGTTTTGAAGACTGAAAATGCAAGTGACATAAAAACAGCATAAAAAGTCGTAATGGAGAAAAGGCCATATATTGCTACAATAAGATATGAACTCAATTTGCTTCTTAATGGGATCTTGAAGCTGGTACTCTCTTGAACTGTTAGAAAATAGTCCAACAAATCCTCAAGCATATAAAAAGTGAAAGAGTGATATAAACTCAGTCCTGAAACAGAAGACAGGTAATGCTAACTTGGAACTCATTAAAAAAAAAAATCAGCTCTTCAAGAAACCCCAAGGATCTTAAATTACCCCCACCGGCCTTGCGGACCCTCTGCTTGGCACAACGCACACCTCCTGGAGGAACCAAAGCTGTCATGAATCCCTGCTGCTCAGCACGGAGTGTTAGGAAATGTCAGGACAAACAAATCAACTGGTTTAAGAATGCGTCTATTTCTGTTAACAGTACTGGCATGAAGGATAAGACTATTAAAAACAGAATTTTATCAGCCATTCTACACAGCAGCAAATCTTTTGGTTCCCAGGCTGAAGCACAGGGGTTAATGACAGCCTGTGATTAGACTTCAGGGGTTTATAAGATAAGCAGGGGAGTGAGGATGAGGTTTGGAAAATTAATTAAAAATACCAACACAATTTTTCATTATACAACAATGTTATATACTTAACATTACTGAAATGTACTCTTAAAAATGGTTAAGGTGGTAAATTTTGTTTTTCTTTTTACCACAATTACATTTAAAAAAAAAATTACACAATTGAAACCACTTTCAGGCATTTGGCCTAGAATTGCTACGTAGGATTCTGCTAATCATATCTTCCTTAAATTTTGATGGCAAGAGTTGGCTCAACATGGCCTCTTGTGTCTCACCTGCTTCAGATCTCATATTCTGTAAGTTCTGTGAGGAAGAAACTAGTCTGTGGAAATATAACACATCTAGAAATAAAGTAATATGTTGAAATTAGGTAATCTAGACAAGGCTTTGGTTTTAAGTCTGTGAAGATAGCAAAACCAAAAATGATAGCAAAAGCTCAGAAAATGGAAATGATATAACATTCCTCTAGATTTTGTGGGATTGTAAAATTCAATTTATTTAACTAAAAAAAAAAAATGTTTGCCCATCCCCTCTCCCTTCCATTTCTGTACTTATCTGATGAAAGTTTTACAACAAAGTCATGAAAGAATAAAGAAAACCTTAAAGAATTTATTTTTTGGTTAACATTGGAGAAGGTAAGTTTTTTCTAGAAAAAAACCCAAAAAAACCCAAGCCATGGAGACCATAAAACAAACAAAATGTATATATAATATACAGATATTATATATATAAAATATATAATATAGTCATTTGACTGAAGTTTTAAAAAATTGCATACATTACATAAACATCAAAATGCACATGGTTAATCTGGGAAAAATATTTGCAATATATAACCTAAAATGCAAATTTTCTTAATTTATAAATAGTTCTGACAAATGAATAACAAAATATGTAATACAGTGGAAAAAATGTACCAAAGCACATAAACAGTCCATTTTAGAAAAAGAAAAATCCATGTCTTACAAACAAAGGTGACCTACATAATTTATAACTAAGGAAATAAAAATGTTTTATTTATCTACTGACAAAGATGAAAAAGTCTGATGGCTATAATGTTGGTGAAGATGTAGGAAAACTACTCTTAGGCAATACTGGTGGGCCCAGAAACAGAAGCATGCTTTGGGGAAGAAGTTTGCAATAGCTATTAAATTATAAATGAGCAAGCCCTTTGCTGACATGGAAAATTAGCCAAGATACTTAATAATAAATGTATAACTCTAGAGCAAAGTATATTTTAATTTAGTGGTGTCCAAGCTTTTTTAGTATGTAAAATAATTTTTTGCATCCACTTCCAAAATGTTTAGTTATTATAAATGATATACAGGGCCGGCCGAGTGTCGCGATGGTTAAGAACTTGCTTGGGATGCCAGAGGGCCCCGGTTCGGATCCCACATTTGAGGGCCAGTGACACTGCCCTCCACAGCTAAGATGCTGAACAACAGCTCAACCTGGAGCTGGGCTGCCATGAGTCGCCGGTGACGGCGTAGGCTGCACTCCCAGTGGCAGTGAGTTGCCATGGGCTACCGTATGTAGCCAGCAGCCAGCGTGAGCGGCCNCTTTTAGTGCCATACAGGCGCCACATGTCACCCCCTTGGTGATTCATTCCTTCCCCAGAGTTTCTCTGTGCCCTACTCTGTGCCAAGATCGTCAAGTGCTGAAGGTTGCCAACATGATCCACATGGGGCCTTGCTTTCTCGGGCTGTTGAGATAGGCATGCACACACAGTCATACAGCCCAGAGGTGCCTCCCACCCTAGGCCCTAAGGAGACCTCCCTCCTGGCCCTTTCCTCTGAGAGTGCAGAGTCCAGAATCATTTGGGGAAGTGATGGGCGTGTCTCCTCAGGGGCCCCTCTTCTGTCTGGACCCAGCCAACCTTTCACACTCCGTGTGTTTGGCCCGGAAGGCCTCGCTCGCAGTGATAGCTTGGCCAGGAATCATCCTGCTCTTTGTTTATGGCCCAGGCTGTACAGAACTTCGGAGGCCCGCACTCAGTGCCTGTGCGGCTGGTTCTCCATCTTCCCTCCATGTTCACTCTCCACTCTCCTCCACTCTGCTCTGCGCCAGGAGGCTAACGGCTTTACCAGGCTTCCCTGGTCCTCTGGTTTCAGACTGGGTTCAGCCAACGGGCGTGGGGAGACACTCGCAAGAGAGAAAGGGGTCAAGAGGATTGCCCCCCACTCTCCTCACTGCCTGCCTGAGGATTGGCAATGGCTGTGTTTCTCTACCTGAGGCCACAGCTTTATGGACACCTTCTCCGACAGCCGCAGTCTCCCCCAGATGTGGAAAGGACGCTGTTAGGCCTAAGAGGTGAAGAAAGGAGAGAGAGCTTAGTTAATCAGTAACCAAAGGAGAACAATGAGCCTTTCTAAAATACCTAACATAAACCACGGGGGTAGTCCTGTCTAGCTTCTACAGCTCCAACACTAAAGATCAATGATTATAGAAAACAGTGCCTGTTCTCTTTATATCCTGATAAAAATCACTTCATAGTTTTCAAAATAATTTACTTCCAAACTGTATCCCCAGACTCTCTGACGCCAGGGGGCACGATGACCCAACCTCATCTTCCCCATACATTCCTTCCGGTTTTTTTTTTTTTTTTTAGCCTTGGGACGAGATAATTAAGCGGGTATAAAGTAAATAAACTGGCTCTGAATGAAGTCTTAGGGGCTTTGCAGTGAGTCCAGGTGTGATACTTATTTTGGCTGCTTAACAGGCCTGCTTCCTGGTTCTCAATGTTTTGGAATAGAGAAGTTACCAGATCACCAGAAAGTTATGTTATTATTTTATTAAAAGCACTGGGGAATATTTACATTTTTACTATTTCAGGTTTAAAATAACTTTTGAAATAAGCACTAGAAAAGTAAGCTCCCTGAGGGCTGGGGTTTTTGTCTTTTGTCCCCGGCTGTATTCCCAATGCCGAAAGCCAAGATCCTATTTGTTGACGACATCCTGAATGTGAGGAAAAGATGTCGTGAAATGTCAGAATTAAAGGCAGATGAAGGAAGAACTACCTTTTAAATGATAATATTCAGAGACCTAATAGTTCGGTAGATAACTCTTCAAGGATGGGGCGGAGGGGGTGGGGGGATATCAGTATCAGCAGTTTATAATGTGCCTTAACTTACTTCCAGACAAAAGGAAAATATTGTAATATTTTAAACCAAATGCCACTTAAAAAGGTCTACACTCAGCACATTCCCTCTCCGTTACAGCTAAGATAAATCAATGTACCTTATTGGAAGGTACAGGAAAGTTTCTCCATACCGGAAAACACAGTGAGGATGCCTGGGGAGTGAAGTGGGGTTTTAGGCGCTTTACAGTTGTGAACTCACGGAAGGGTTAGTCTTGATGAGAATTCTGATGGACGGCATCAGTAAGGCCTGTGCAAGAGCCCAACAAAGTTGCAAAAGATCCTTATGAATGCGCTGTTGTATCAAACTCAAGGGCTTTCAGGGGGGAAAAGGGCAAGACTGGAGGTAAGCAGGGGCTTTATACGGTGTCAGTGGGAATGAGAAGCAGTGCCAGGTAAGAGAAAGGAGCTGACTTGGAGAAAAGGCTGTGAGAATTCCGCCCAGGTGAGGGTTCTGGAGAACCGCTGAGTGGCTGCGGAGGCAAGTACAGAAAGTGAGCGTGGGTGGAATCGCTAGGGATTAAAGGGAAGCATAATTCTAAAGAGGGTGGGAGGCTCGGGTCGGACAGGGCCCAGCCGGGCCTGGCCAGGGGAAGTGGCGCCGAGGGAGGCTGGGCCGCAGCAAGCCAGCCGACCCCGATGAGCCACGTTCCTACCGGTCCGCACGCGTCTGGCCGTAGGTCCTGGAAGTCGGCGCCGTAGATGGCCTCCAGGGCCTGCAGCTCGTGGTCCTGTCGCTGCGGGTAGCTCTCCGGTGGCTCTTCCCCGCGGCGCCCGGGTATCCCACGACCCCCAGCCATTGCAAAGCGGCTGCCAAAGTTAGGCGGCCCTATGGCCGCGGGGACCGGCTCCTCTGCTCCCAGTGCTGGGCCCAGGGCGGGTTCCTTGCTGTGGGCGGGGCCACACTCCGGGACGGTCCGTGGGCGGGGTTCCGTGACGTGGGCGGGGCCACACTCAGGGGCGGTCTGTGGAGGGGGGCGCGCTGGCGGGAGGAGTTAGGTTCTGGGCGCACCGGGAGTCCTAGCTAGGAAGCAAGGCTGGGAGACGTTTTTTTTGCCAACATAATGTAACAGCGGTTCTCAACCTGTGGGTCGTGACCCCTTTGGGGGTCGAACGACCCTTTCACAGGGGCCGCATAAGACCATAGGAAAACAAAAAGATATTTACATTACGATTCATAACAGTAGCAAAAGTACAGTTATAGAGTAGCAACGAAAATAATTTTGTGGTTGGGGGTCACCACAACATGAGGAGCTGTATTAAGGGGTTGCGGAATTAGGAAGGTTGAGAACCGCTGAGAGAACCAGAGCAAAGGAATCTTCAGGAACGTGGGAGAACAAACCAATCAGAATGGAATGATAACGCCACATGGTGTCATTTTCATGAAATAAGCCTCTAACAGAAATGCCTGCTATTGTAGAAGTCCCTCACTCTGGCATGGGTAGTGACCGGAAACCCTTAAAGGACAGACTTCGATGGCTTTTTAAGTCACTGCCTCAGCTAGAGCCTTCCCACAAGTCTACCAGGAGTAAAAGTCGTGAATACTACTTCCCTTCCCCCCAGTTTTGTACCCCTAAACTACCGTACTTCCCCATGTATAACACTGAATTCAGCACTGTACGAAAATCTTTTCTGAGCTATTTCTGGGCAGAACGTGGCAAAACGTAACCTACCGTAATATACCAGTAATAAGTGAGAAACAATGAGTGCAAAGACAACAAGTGCGAAAAAAAGATGCACCCAGTTTTTAGACCGAAAAATTTTCAAAAAAGGGTGCATCTTATACATGGAGAAATACGGTATCCCCTTAACCATTGATTCAACATCCTATGCATTTTTTCTGTCCCCTTACTTCCAAGCCAGACTATGAGTCACAGTATTTTATAGTCATATCTCATTTTAGAGCAAAGAAGATATTACTGTTTTGATCACTTAACTCACCAGAATTGGTATCAGATAACTTTTGGCTCTTTCAAGAAAATCAAATTTATTCTTAAAGGACATATTTGTTATGATCAGGGATACAAAAAAGGATGTGTTAGCTTCTGAAGTTAACTCTAAAAAAGGAGTCCCTAAAATGTGTTGAGAAATGATATTCTTTAATGGTTAAATAGCTTCCCAAGATGACTCCTTTAAAGGTGATAATACTCATTGATATTTCAGTTTTGGAATATTTGCTATTAACAAAAAACTAGTCAGGTTGCTTTATGAGCACTATGTGTGTACGTGCATGTGTGTGTGTCTGTGTGGTGAGACTATTGAGGCTACCTGGAGTGGGAGAGTATTCAACCCTGTATATCCCAGATATTTTGATGAACTTAATAGCATAGGTGTGAGAACTAGTACAAATTGGGAAACTGGATTAGGAGATATAGTCATAGATTCATATTAGTAGGAAACAATTTCATAGTCCACATATTAAGTCAATTTAGAATGTACGAAGGTCTGTGTTAATATGCTTTAAACAGATAATAGCTTTGATGGTAATTTAACATACCCAAAACTCAGAATTCTAAAGTAAATATATTTAGTTCAATAAAGTGAAAGCTAAACTCTAGACTTCTAACTTTTCAACCAAAATTTCCCCAAAGTTGCTCTGTCCTTTGCTAATTGTAAATTAAGTGGTTCTTCTATTTTTTTAAATACAAGGCTTGTTAGGCAGTACTTTAAATCTACAAAGAGAGAATTCTTTAAAATATTGAAAAGTGATACTTTTTACCCTTTTGATATTTGTTTTAAGCATAATAATAAATAGGAATTTATTCATAATAAATAGGAATAAATATTATATCACCTTTTAGTGATTTCCTACAATGTGCCAGAGGTTTTAATTACTTCAATATTTTATTATCCTCAAAACAGCCTTACAAAATAGGCATTTTGATAGAGGAGGAACATGAGCTTAGAGAGGTAACGTAACTGCCCAGTGTCAACAGTGGAAATGGCTGTCACAAATGGAAATGGTGGAGCACGCATTTCAAACCCAGTTCCAACTGACACCTACTGTCATGCTGTTCCCCTCTCTCCACTATGCTAGATTCTTATCTTGAGGGAGTTGAGGTTTGCCAATGTAGAGACAATCTGGGTTTCCAGGAAGAAAGAAACGGGTTATCAGCTATACTAAGCTTAAGTACTCTCCAAAGGAGCCATTTAAATGACATAAATGTCTCAGAGGCCAAAACCCAATAGCTCAAGTCAAAGATTCCCAGAGGCTCTATCTTTTGTCAGCTACAATTTTTATCTTTTTTTAAAAAGATTTTATTGGGGAATTGGGGGAGGGGAACAGCATTGGGGAATTGGGGAAGGGGAACACACAAGTTGCTGTCCTTTTGTTCTTCAGTCTAGTTGTGGAGCATGTCGCTTCACTGGCCCATGTTGGTATTATCATTGTGCTCTTCCAGGGTGAGGCAGTCGCTCGCTGGCCATTGGATGGCCGCTCACAGCGGCTCACGGCAGCTCACGAAAGCTCACGCCCGCTGCAGGCCAGCCCCACTGCAGCCTACGCCGTCGCAAGCAACGCACGGCAGCCCAGCTCCAGGTCGAGCTGTTGTTCACCATTTTAACGGTAGAGGGCGCAGCGTCACTGGCCCTCATGTGGGATCTGAACTGGGGCCCTGCTGCTCAGAGATGGCATCCCAAGCCAACTCCTAACCAACGCACCACTCTGCCGGCCCTACCATTTTTATCTTGTAAGGACGTAGGATATCCTTATTGCCACTACCAATATACACAGAGAGTTTTTGAAGTCCGAACTCAAGAGCTTTCATTCCCCAGAAATAAAATAAAGTCTGCACTCTCTTAAATATGCAGGCCCCAGTTTTCCTAACTATATCTGCCAGGATAGGCCAGGTTATGCTGTGATAATGAATGGCTACAAAAATCTTGGTTGTTTAGTACAATAAAGGTTTATTTCTTGCTCACACAAAATTTATTGTGCGTCTGGGTGGCTCTCCAAGGCATCTGCCTGTGCCCCCACCCACCAGTGTTGACTCAGAAACACAGGCTGCTTCACTATTTCAGTCCTTCCGGTTCCACACAAGACCCCTTCCAGAGTCACAATGGTGGGGCAGCAGAGAGTCTTGAGAATCACAAACAGCTTTTCACTGCTGTAGCTCAGAAATGATTTGTCACTTTTGCTCACATGCCATTAGTCATGAGTCACAAAGCCCTGGCTACTTGCAAGAGCAGCTGAGAAAAATAGTCTGTGTACCTGGAAGAAGAGGAGAACGAGATACTGTTGGAACACTAGTAATGTCTGTGCAATAATCTGCACTATTTATGTCTTTAATATAGGCATAGAAGTAGCCATTCAGAATTAGAACCACTTATTCCAGATGGGTAGCTGGGTGCTATAAGGGCCCCTCTTTTATCAGCATGCTGGTTTTTGGGCTTACCAACTCAAAGTACTCTAATTTCTCCAGCTTTTCTCTTCTTCCCACCTTTAGTGAGAGGCCATGCAGGGGCATGGAAGGGTGTGGTGTCGGGGGTACAGGAGGCATGAGGAGGAGACCTTCAATGAAGAAAGGGAAAAAGGGAAGGGAAAATAAAACCCATAGCTCCGCCTCACTTCCCCCCACTGCATTGGTCTTTGCAATTATCCTAAATCCTATTTCATCTGTTTTTCTGCCTACTCAAGCCCCTTCCTGCTCTTCAATAAATGCCCATAAAAGTTGGAATATGGGAATTCTTTTGAGCTGAAATGGATCCTATTACATTCTATAAGTATGGGCAGGCTTGTTATTAGCACCTATATGCAAATTTTACCTATTACTACACCACAGGAGTATAAGAGAAAAAAAACAAAGAAGGAAATAGGCTTTTAAAAATTACCTATTACCCATCTGTTCTAGTCAGACCTTCAACTGATTGGATGAGTCCCACCCATTTTAAGGAGGGCAATCTTTACTCAGTATACAGATTCAAATGTTAATCTCATCCAGAAATACTCTCATAGACAAACCCAGAATAACGTTTGGCCAAATATCTGGGAAACCCATCCCATAGCCCAAATAGACATATAAAATTATTGGGGCCGGCTGAGTGGCTCAGTTGGCTAAGAGCTCGCTCAAGAGTTTGAGCTCTGAGCAACAGCGGTTCGAGTCAGCCCGAGCTGAGCAGCCACTGAGCTGCCAACAGGTGGCGGGATGGCTCAGCTAAAAAAAAAATAAAAAAATAAAAAAAATAAAATAAAATTATCCATAATACCTATTTTCCCATGGTTATGAGAAGGAAAATTCTAAAGCAAATCACAGTAGGCATACAATGAAGGAAGAGGTGACTGGAGAAAACTGTGAGAATTTGTTGTATTCCACATAACAGTATTCCTGCCTTCCCAGCAGAAGGGCATTAACATTTAAGTGAGTGAACTACTGGTACAAAAAAAAGTCACTCTTTTAAATGATGTGGAGACTGAAAGAGGCAGACCTTCAGGGAGGAAGGTAGATCTACAGACTGAGTAGGACCTCCTTGGGAGTCCTTAACCCCCAGAGCATCTCACTCATTTTGCCCCCACTCTGCCTGGGAAACCTATCATTGTGTTTATTATTTCTATACGGAAATGGATCCTGAGTGCTAAACAAGTAACTTAAAAACTTAATTGAAGTGGACTGTAATTAATTTTTGTGGTTTTTGACCTCTTCAGGTTTTAATTCCAGAAGAACTATACTTGAAATGGGACCCTTTGAAGGATATATATATATATTTTTAATATATATTTTTTTAATTGGGGAATTGGGGGGATGGGAACAGTGCTGGGGGATTGGGGAAGGGGAACAGACAAGTTGCTGTCGTTTTTTTTTTTGTGTTCTTCAATCTAGTTGTGGAGGACGTTGCTTCACTTGCCCAAGTTGGCACCATCATTGCACTCTTCCCTGGAGAGGCAGATCAGTCGCCGGCT